CACAACAAGCAACCCTCTGAACGCACAGCCATGCAGCGCCGAAAACATGGAAGCAACGAAGCTGTGGAAAATGGAGACACGTGGATGGGGGGGGGGGGGGGGGGCTCAAAAATCACTAAAACTATTCTGCACATTTATACAAATAAAATACAGAACATTTAAAAAGTTATATCAAAAACTAAGTAAAGGTATCGATAAAAAGCTACAAAGGGTATAAAATAAGGCTGGGCAATTAATTGCTTTTGCAATTTCAAAAAATGCAATTTTTAAATCGCAGCGGAACTCAGTTATTAGCCCATTTCCACCACCCTCTGAAAACGTGCCGAGCTTGGATTAGTTAAGCTCGGTTCCTTACAAGCGTTTATGCACCATCACAGTTCCTCGCCTCCTACTGGCGATCTATGGTACTCCTGCTCTCTACAGGGAAACAAACCAACATGGCGGAGCCTGTATCATTGAGGAAGTTTGCAGAGGGTCAGGTGAAGAAGGCAGCCTTTGCTGAATTTACTTGACAGAGTCGGATTTTGGGAAGTGGAAACGATAAACGATCGTCTAATCAGGGCTTCCAGACGCAGGAAACAACGACACAGATCTGCTCGGGGCCACGCCCCTTCTTATGACGTCATCATGTGGCAACTCCGCTCGGAAAAACTGTATTGCGCCCGTTTCTTAAGGATCAAATCTCTATTGGAGTCTTAACATTTTATTAGCTATATCTGCTATTATTTCACATTTCATCGTCAATCTAAAGCAGCAGAAAGTAGAAAACAATCATTGTCAGTCTGGAAGGAAAGTCCTGCTTTAAGACAGACTGAGCTCTGATATTTAAAAAAGAGACATAAAAATTCTCAGTTTATTTTTATTCTTTTTATTAAGATCTGAGGGCGGAGGACAAAATGAACATCTTAAAAATGACTTTCGTAGAGCTTTTAGACAAAGAAAACAGTCATTCTACTTGTAGAAAACGAACGGTTGTCACGAATTTAAAAGTAGTGTAGCTTAGTGAGGCTAACCTGTTAGCTACAGCTAGCCACAGCGCTACCCAGCTCTTTATATCACGGTCTAACAGTTACTTTGTTCACCTGAAACACATTTTTTCAGTTTTGTTATCGATCAGGTAAAACTGAATCGGTCATTAGAAACGCTAACGCTACAGATGCTCGGCACGGTTTCTAAAGTGTAGTGTAAATCGAGCTATGGTGCGATTACATTCAGCGAGATTAAAAGCCTACATTTCTCACTCCAGCTCTTTAGGTAGCAGCCTAACCCTAACCCAGTGGGTTTGCCCAAAGGTGCAGAGATTTGCCGTTACCACGCAGATCCATGCATGCAAGCAGAAGTAAGCCATTTTTTCTTACAAAAGTTACACTAAAATCCTGCAGCAATGGACTCCTTTCAAACAAGCTTTTAAAAAGTGAAAGCCTGCGGTGAAACACCTCCTTGGGGTTAGTGCAAAGGAAAATCTAAATAAAATACTGGTGAAAAATAATGGTTTTCTGCATTATCACTGTGGATGGTGTCTTTAAATGAAAGGATGCTCTGAAGGACGGTATAAAAAGGTATAAAAACTGAATCTCAGGAACCCTTTGACTCTCCTGCTTCTGTTCCACATCAGAACCAGACATAAGAAACAAGAACCTGCATCCAGGACTGACTTCCTGCACATCCTGCCATGTTAACAGATCTGCTGCTGCAACACAACTTCCTCCCAAACGATGTTCCCACCTGCTGCCTCGGCTCCCATCGCCGCCGCTGAGCAGCGGACTGAGCGGAACCAGACCCAATCCAAGCCAGACCAGACAAACACAGCGTATGATGAGCTCAGTGGGGGGGGGGGGACTGCTCCTCAAACACGTAGAAGGTGAAGGGGACAGCAGAGATGGAGAGCGCTCCAACCGGACAGCAAAAGCTTTTTGGTGGTATGTTTGCCTGGTTGGAGGTTGGTGATCAGCTGCTTCTGCCATCCCATCCAAGCCCCGCCCCCTCCACCTCACCAGGGGAACCGCTGACTCTACCAGGACTCACCGAGATCCTTAGAGCCTTGGCTTTCGCTGGCCATCTCGCCCATCCGCACCAGAGCGTCGAAGTAGCCCTTTGCAGCATATGTGACACCTGGAAACATGGAAGCATGGGGCGTCAGATCAACGGTGCCGAGCGGAGCTCTGTAGCCATCCCCTGCAACCCTCCGCTCCCACAGAGAGGCAAGCCCAGGCACGGGAGGTTAAAGGGCGACAGGCGGAAATGGAGGAAAAAAGCTCTAAGAAAGGACCGCAGGAAGCAGAAAGCTGCAGAGATTAAGCCTCAGCTTAAGCAAAACTCCCGTTCTCTACAAACCAATAAGTCATCATCTCCAGCTGATCATCTTCAGCATTAAATATCTACATCACAGAGGAAATTTATAGAGTATCCATGGGGCAGAAACCCGGAAACCATGAGGTTAAAAATCCAAGAATAAAACAAATTAAAAGGTAAAAATCAGGGCTTTTTTATATGATGAGAGCAAATGTTTACTACTGGGTAAAATAAATACATAACATTATGAGAATAATGTTGTGTTATTGCATTAAAGTAGACTTTAACTTTATTTCCCACAAAGATACCACTTTATTTCCATAATGTGATGATTTTATTCTCAATATTAGTAGTTTATATCCCATCGTTAATCCTCCATATCATAGCTGGTTTAGCTGAATAAATCAGAAATCTGGGCTATTTAAATCCAACCCAGCAGCCTCCTTATTGGTGGAAAACATTTGTGTGACATAAATGGGATCTTTTTCTATCCCCTCCTCCTTATAACATTTTTAATAAACCTCTTGTCAGACCTCCTCCATGTTGGGTTTTAAGGGTCTCCTTGCAGCTGCTCGGTGAGTCGGGCCCTAACAGGCGCAGACGGAGAGCGGGTCGGAGGCTGGGGCCGACAGCAGAGGCCGGGTTTATCACCGAGCTGTCAGCTCAGGCTGTTTTTCATTCACTCCCTGAATCCCAGAGAGGAGGAGAAAATGACAAAGCGCTCGCTTGGAAAACAATAGCAATCTATTCTGAGCCCAGAGCCTCAGACCGGGCTCGCCGCTTTTACCGCAAAGATGCTTTCTGCTCTGGGTTTCTAAGATCTACATCACTGGGACTCAAAGTTTAGTTGAAGAAGATTCGAACCTCAACAGATCTGCTCTGATTGAACATTTTAGACATTTAAAGATGCTAAAGATGTGATCATTTGAGTTTAGGAGGAAACTACAGAAGACCATTAAAGTGAACCGATTTTTATGTTATGTGAGTTTAATACGTTTAAAAAAAAAAAAGAATCTGAATTCTGACTTATCTTAGAGTTTGGACTTTTTATTTTTTGTTAGGAATAGAGCTACTTGAAAAAAAAAGGTGAACTGATGTTTTTTTATTTAATTTGAGTTAAATATGAGAAAAACAGTCAGAATTTTAAGATTAAAGTCAGAATTCTGACCTTTTTCCTCATATTAAACAAAAAAAAAATAAAATAAAAACTGTTAACTTTTTTTTTGTTTTTGTTTTTTGCCAGCAGCCCTAATTCTCACTGTAGGAAACAGAACTGAAGTCGTTTTAAAAGGTGAAACATGTTCGGATCTTTACTATCCTCCAGATGAGCCGTTTTTCTTGCTCATCCAAACATGCAGCATCTTCCAGCCTCAGTTTGCTGGAACTTCGAACACGGAGTTCTGCTCATTCACGCCAGTTTCCCTCCTCAGTCATCAAGGAGGTTTAAGGTAGAATTGAAACAATTAATTGGATTAATGGATAATTGAAATATCAATCAACTAATATAGTGATTGATTGATTATTTGTTAACTGGTTTATAGAGACTGTAAAACCTGCCTTTAGCTGACAGAGCGACTCACTAACAGCAGGAATTATACCAGAATTGTTGAAAAACATTTAAGATAAAAAAAATAATAAATAAAAACTCCGCTGCCAATCTGCTCCATCCAGAACTCCCCAGGTGGAAAAGTTTGAGTTTCACCTGGTTTATTTTCATGAAAAGTAACCTTTATCCATCCTATCATTAATGAAAATAATAATTGACCGATTAATTGATTAGCAAAATAAAGGTTAGTTGCATCTCTAGTTTTAAGACTCTGGAAACAACCCAGTCCAAGTAAGCCCCCCCCCCCAATGACTGGCTGCTTTTAACCTCCTCTGGGATGCAGACGCCACCGTGTCTCTAGAACCAGTAGCAGATTTTTTTCCACTGACAATAAGATGACTGCTGGGTGCTCCGCCCTTTTTACTTGGTCTGAGCCTAAACTCCCCCCCCCCCTCAGAGTTGTGGCGAGGCATTGATGAAGTGCAATCCCCTCTCAGGGAGTAGCAGGGTTATTTTTAGCTTCATCTATCAGTCAGGAGCGACGCCTCCTTTTCTGTTCCTGCAGGCAGCTGAGTTCTCCCTGCATCTCCACTCCTCTAAACAAAAGGAGAGTCCTGCTCCACGCCAGGCGCTGCCACGCCGGGGGGGCAGCATCCTCCTCCCTACGCACTCAATCACCAACAGAGAAATGCTTCTTAAAGCATCAAATCCAGTATCAGAGCTGGAACTCCATTCAAATCTTATCCAAAAACCAAAAAGTTCTGATTGTTTTGTATAAAACATCCCGACTGTCTTGTCCTGGATTCTCTCTCAGCCTGTTCCCATTTCCTCGGCCCCATGGGTGGAGGTACCGTTACTCTAGCAACACCCCCTGCTCCACTTAGCTCCCGCAGGACGCCTCGGTTGCTTTGTTTTTAGCCTCCAGCCGCTGGCGTCTGAGGCGCCCACCTTTCACACCCGTGACCATGCAAACACATGAGCAAAAGCAACTAGAAGCCATGACAGAGGAAGCAAAGAAGAAGCAGACATTTAAGAAGTGAAGGTACAGCAAAGCAAGGAGGGAGACGAGGCGGGAAACGGTCCGGAAGACCATCATGAAGAGATTCCAGCACAGAAGTGAATAAGATACCAACTCTAACCGACCACAGAGCTCCGTCAGTTTAGGTCTGGATTCAGACGGTAAAACGTGACTCTGCAGAACATCATCATCATCATCATCATCATCATCATCATCATCATCATCATCATCATCATCACTTTATTCCAGGAGGATCTACATCAGCACCAGGCGTTAGGCCAGCCGGCCCTCCGCCACCACAGAGTAAACAGGAGACGGTTGGTGTACTCACTGGTGAGAGCCTTCTCGTAGCTCTTGGCCATGGCTATGAAGTTCCGTAAGCACGGGTTGAACTGTTCCATGATGTTCTGCAAAGCAGGGGACAAAAACAAACAGTTCTGTTAGACTGGAAGCAGGATAGAAGCTGACGCCAAAGCTGCTACGGTGACCCGGCCGAGCCAATGAGGAGGAGGACAGGACGCGCTGCGAGGAGCCAGAATCCAGCAGGATGGGAGCTTGACGGACTGGAGGGTTTCTGTGTCAGGGTGTGTGTGTGTGTGAAGATCCGTCCCTCACACCTCCCCTGCTGCCTGCTTTGAAATAAAACCTGATTTTGGCTGCCGACTCGGAGCTCAGCAGCAGATTTGGACCTGCTGCCGCTTCCCTCAGTCTCCAAACCTGCAGCCAGTGGCTATTTAAAGAAAATAAATTAAAAAAAAAAAGATAAAATGACCTGAAGGTCAGTTACTCTGATGAATAGTTGCAGTTTGAAACTAACCTCAAAGTGTTTCACTTTCCCCTCCATAACCTCCTCCTCATATAAGAAAAACTTTCTGGTTAATAATTTGTTTTTAATTTTTCCATTGGGTCCTCACAATGTTGAACAGATCCCAGCGCTATTTTATTTTACTCCTTAAAGGAAAAGTCCGGTCAGCAAGGAATAATCAATGGATCATTATTTAAACCTGAAGCTAATATGTTGGCGCCGATTTCATGAATTTAGCTTCTGGGAGTCTGGGAGCGGCCATTTGTAATTATAGTAAACTTCACTCCTGACATCTACCAGCAGTGGCGTCACGGTGCGGTAAGCTTTCACAAGTTTGAATTCTGAATATGACCGGACATTGCCTTTAAGAAATCAAATATTTCCATGTACCCTTTGCAATGCACTCACGGACCACTAGGGGCATGCATACCCCCGGTTGGGAATCACCGGCCTTAGATTAGGATGCAGGACGGGGAGCTGAAGCGACTGGCTTTGGAACCACGGCTTTCAGTGAACATCAAACGAAAAGCAACTTTATTTATTTATGCATCAATGTATGGAAGAAAAACTCATTTGCATCTGCCTTTTTTTGTACACTGAATTTTAAACACTGAATTTTTACACATTGAATTCTTACAATGATTTTTTTATCTGCTAAAAATTCAGCTGGCTCAGTCAGATTAGATGAAAAACTCTGATGGCCGTCTATTAGTGGCTACCTGATGTTTTGTAATCAGATCAAATCAAATTTATTTGTATAGCCCTTTACAATAGCCAAATGAAACCCAAAATGCTTTACAACAAAGCCATAAAACAATACATAACACATATAAAACATACAGATACAATTCAAAGTGCTGTAATGGTTCAGGACATTAACAGCCTTCCAGAGGTGCATAGAAAGGAGCGCACAGAAAGAGGACATCTAAGAGACAGTATTATAGTCAGAATTAAAAGCTAATTTAAAAAAGTGGGTTTTAAACTAAAAAAAAAAAAAAAGGCTGAGGTCAGTAGTGGTGCGGCTGTCAGGGTGTAGTTTGTTCCACAGTCTGGGAGCAGCAACGGCAAAAGAACCATCGCCCCACTGTTTGAGGCTTGACCTAGGGACCTCTAACAGAAGCTGAGCCGAGGAGCGTAAAGCTCTGCCACAATTACGGAAACTTAAAATCTCAGACAAGTAAGAGGTCAAAGCCATGGATGGCGTTAAAAACAAACAGCAGAAGTTTAAAATCAATGGACTGGAAGCCAGTGGAGCGACGACAGCACAGGAGAATGAAATAATTAACAAGAAAAACTCCTCATTCAGCTGAGAACAAAGCTATGCCCAACTGTTGCATCACATGACCAAATGAGCCGAGTTCACTGGTTAGAGGCTGCATGACTGCATCCTGTGTTTATTGATTGGCTAGAGTTCATCAAAAAGGTTGACATTTGCAGTTTTTCTTCCATATTCCAAAAGTGGTGAATCCATTCAGTCTGGGAAATGGCTTAAAACAGTCATTTATGGCTGCAAAGTAAACAAACTCCCCACATTTTATCTTAAAGTGACTCAGAAAGTCGAAAGAACTGGTTATTAAATCCAGGAAGAAATAAAGCAGGAATTAAGCAGAGATAAAAACCGGTACAGGAGGTCAAACACAGAAAAACAAACCTTAAAGGATCGGCAGTAAAAACCACTAGATGCAACTTTGGCCTTTTGAAAACAGGGAGCATTTTGACTGATGTGTGTTTATTTCTAGCTGCAGATCTCCGAGCTTCGCCTGCGTGTCAGATGGTATACCATCCATCTGCACCAGGAGAACAAACATCCCGCTCTGAGGCCGCAGGGCTCGTTAAAAAGTGACAAAACAGACGAGAAGAAAGTCTAACGAGTCTTACAGCTCGTCCATCTCTGGCCTTTCTCTGCTGGTGCATTTCCAACCAAACCGAAAAGATCTTTTCCCTCCAGTCAGATGTTTCCTGACAGGCTTAACTTATTTTAGACATTTAAAGGATTAAAGCAAAGAAAAAAAATGAAAAGGGAGTTAGCCATTAGCAGATCAAATTATTCAGACCTTTAAAAGCCTTTAAAGCCTCGTAAACTAACTTTACTGGGAAAGGTCAAAGGTCTCTTTCAGGTCAAGGATTTTTTTGGAAAAGGAGAAATACTTTAAAAAACAATAATGGATGAGTGAAGAAGAGTAGGAAGTAAAAAAAATAACAAAAAAGAAGGCAGATGGAGAGAAGGTGGACGGTTCATGGCGGCTTTCAGCTCAGGATGGATGCTGACGCACGGCAATCACCTTAAACGCAGTAGACTCCAAAAAAAGGAAGTAAGAAGTGGGACAGCGTGTAATCGGAGTACCGGAAGAAAAAATAAAACCTCTTAAAGGAAGTTTAGCTTGAAAGGGTGAAGTGGAGCGGGACATGGAGGGAAGGAGCTGAAGCTTAAAGGGCTCAGTGACCTTCTGAGTCTGTCAGGTTGAAGTGATGCGATATGATGCAGGTTCTAACACGTGGAAGGCAGCCTCACAATAACACCTTAAGAGGAAGATGGACACAGAATATAATAGATGGATAGATAGGGCTATAATTAAACCCCTAGACCCCCTCCTCCCTGGTTATGTAAGGATGGGCTGCAGAACAAAGTGAGTCTGAAAGTGCATCAGCTCCTGATGGATCGGAGCACAGAGAGGAAAACCAGGATGGAGAGCAGCCCAGATAAAAACACTGGGTTTGCTGCTGTTAATATCGCTGCGATCAGCAGAGTCACGCCTTTACAGTCGACACCGGGTCACCTCTATGGGAGGCGTCCTTTTAGGATCAGTCGTCATTCAGTTACAAGAAAAGTTAAAGGAAAAGTCGAGTGAATAATCAATGGATCATCATTTATACCTAAAACTAATACGTTCACTGTGATTTAATGAATTTAGGGTTAATCAGTAAAAAAATAATTTTCGTTGCGATCACAGAGTCAGGGAGCGGCCAAATATAGTAGCCCCTCCCTCCTGCCATCTTCCAGCAG